CTCTCCACCTATCTTCTCCTTTATCCATCTTCTATCCACCTCGCCCTGTCTCCCTATTTATTTCAGAACCCCCTTCCCCTCCCCCATTTCTGAAGAAGGGTATAGGCCCGAAACGTCAGCTTTCCTGCTCCTCTGATGCTGCTTGGCCTGCTGTGTTCATCCAGCTCTACACCTTGTTATCTCAGATTCTCCAGCATCTGCAGTTCCTACTATCTCAGAGAATACTTCTGCTTGTTTTTCGAGCTGGAGGAAGCTTTACATTGGGGTTCGTTGTTAGGATCCTTGCATTTTCTGACTTAAACTTGGGAGGGCACAATTTCAAAATGTCTGGAAATTACAGAACTGGAGAGCATTGTGAACCGAGAGAAGGTTAGCCCTAGTCTACAAGAAAACAAAGACAGGCTGGAAAAATGAATAAACGTGGCAGATTAAATTTAACGTATTGAAGTGATATATTTTGGTAAGGAGAATGAGGGGAGATGATATATAGGGTATAGGACTACAGTAGTGGAGGAATCTGGGATTCAAAATCCCCGATGGAAATGCAGTTAATAAAGCATGCAGAGTCTTTTATTCAGCATTATTAATATGAACATCATGTAAAACAAAAGTAAGCTATGACAAACATGTATAAAACACTGGTTAAGCCCGAGTTGTTGTCTTGTGTAGAATCCTGGGCATCAGACTTTAGGAAGAATGTAAAGGCACTGGAGAGTATGCAGGAAGAGTCACAAGAGTAGTTCCAAAGGACGAGGAATTTAAATTATGCAGATAAATTGGAGAAGTTTGAGCTGTCCTCCTTGGAGTAGAAAATTAAGACGAAATTTGATAGAAATATTCAAAATCATGAAGAGTCTGGAGAGCTTAGACTGGGAGAAACTATTCCCACTTGCGTGGGATCGAGCGGCAAAGGACACCAATTTTACATGATTTGCAAAAGAAGCATTGGCCATGAGGTTTTATTTTGTGTTTTTTTTTAAACACCAAGTGTTTAGGATCTGGAATACACCGCCTTAAAGGGTGGTAGAGGCAGATACAATCAATGCCCTCAAAGGAGAACTGGATAACTATCCAAAACGAAAGAATTTTAGGCATTATAGGGAAAAGGTGGGGGAGTGAACCGAGGAGAGATGTTCTTGTCAAGAATCAGTGCAGACACAACAATTCGAATGGCTGCCTTCTGTGCAATAAACATTCCAAGGCATTTTGACAAAATGGAGATGAAAACGGGTGGGGGTGGGGGATGGTCTGTGTGGAGCATGTACACCAGCATGAACTATTTGGGCAGAATGGCCTGGCTCTAAGCTGTGAAGCCACCAAGCCATCACAATACAACAAAACACAGTACCAATTCCACCCTCTAAGCACTTCAAGAGAAGATCCTGCACAGCAATCCCTCATCACTGAGAGACAGTCTAAATAACAACTCTAATGTCTCCTATCCCTCATCACCTCTTGTTAATCTTAATCAGCACCTGCTTTCTAGCATCTAACCTTATGTGGTAAAATGCTTTAGGCACTGATTCTCCACCTTGGGAGAGGTGACTAAAGGGGTCGCCAGGTAGGCTTAGGTGAGAAGCGCAGAGAAGTGTATGGGATGAAATAGGACTGGAAGCTCTGGAGGGTACAAACATGATGAACTGAAAGCCCTCCTGCTGATGGGAACTTGTGAGAATGTTGTCTGGGATACAGGGGCTGGAGGTGTTGGTTGTGAGCAGGCCTCATCTTGGCTCGATCAGTGAATCCAAAGGATTCCATACCACTATTTTGAAGTAGACAAGCTTACATTTTCCCTGAGATAGTAGGAACTGCAGATGCTGGAAAAGCAAGTCTCCCCTCCCCCTACCGCATCCCAAAATCAGCCCAGCTCGTCCCCGCCTCCCTAACCTGTTCTTCCTCCCACCTCAAGCCGCACCCCCATTTCCTACCTACTAACCTCATCCCGCCCCCTTGACCTGTCCGTCCTCCCTGGACTGACCTGTCTCCTCCCTACCTCCCCACTTACACTCACCTTTACTGGCTCCATCCCCGCCTCTTTGATCTGTCTGTCTCCTCTCCACCTATCTTCTCCTCTATCCATCTTCTATCCGCCTCCCCCTCTCTCCCTATTTATTTCAGAACCCCCTTCCTCTCCCCCATTTCTGATGAAGGGTCTAGGCCCGAAACGTCAGCCTTACTGCTCCTATGATGCTGCTTGGCCTGCTGTGTTCATCCAGCTCTGCACCTTGTTGTCTTACATTTTCCCTGGTGTCTTGGTTAATATCTATCCCATCAATGATATTACAAGAACATGATTTGTCTCGCTGTGTGGGAGCTTGTTATGCATCAACATTTCAAAGTACCCACGTTGGATCATAGAGTTAGTGCAGCACAGAAACAGGCCATTTAGCCCATTACACTCATTCCAGCTCTCTGCATAAGCAACCCAGCTCATCTTGGCCAAAGCACTTTCGAATATTGAAGTCATAAAAGGTGCTGTAAAAATCCAAGCCTTTGTTCCTTTCTGCGCAGATTCCTTTGGCCTTGTTGCTAATGTGCAGGCATTGGCTTTCTTTGCCTGGAATGTTCACAATCAGCCACTGGGAGGATGATCACTGCTGCCAATCTATTAGGAAACTGCATTCCAGACTGGGATAATCAAAAGAAATCACATCAGAGGCAGAATCCGATTAACAAATTAATTAAGTCAGGTTCACTGCTCAAAACTCTGGGAAGCTTGGAAACTGAAAGGTTTGTGTTATCTAAATCCTCAGCCATGGCAGAATGAACAATGCTATAGTCACTTCAAACAGATAATGGAACTTGAGGTCCCAGCCCCTCTGCTCCACATTCTCACTCTCATCAAGTCACCCAGCAGCCCTTGTGTTCATTGACCTACACAGAGAAGCATCTTGAATCTAAAATTCTCACCCTTGTTTTAGAATTCTTCCATTGCCTCAACTTTCCTTACTCTTCAACTCTTCCAGTCCTCCAAGATATGTATCCTCTTCCAATTCTGGCCTCTCGTGCATCATCAATTTTAATCACTCCACCATTGGCGCTTGCCTTTTCAACTTTGCAATTTGCTTCCTAAACCAACTCCCGAACTCTTTTTCTGTCTATCAAACTTATTTCTTCAAGCAACCTTTTGGTCACCCACCCTCACATCACCTTATCCAGTTCATCAAATTTTGTCTGATGACGCTTCTATGAAATGCCTTGGAATGTTTTACTATAATGAACGGTGCTATGTAATTGCAAGTTATAGCTGGTATTTTCCATTGTCACTCACCGAGACACTTGGATATCAGTGTGGCTCGAGCCTCTGTCATGTGTGGATACTGAGGTTTCACCAGGTCTGTCATGGTGACAGCAGCTAGCGAATTGAATGCAGACGATATTGTGCTGAAGAGACACAAGCAATGATTCAGCATTAAAAAGAGAGCCTAATGTGCTCCCACATCCACCGAGAGTTGGCTGTGGATTAATGTTCATCCTTTTACTAATAGTTACATGAAAGCTGGTGCTTGTAAGCAATAAATCTAACAATTGACATCACCTTCAGAACATCTCTACAGCAGTACAGGCAGAGCCCCATCAGAGAAACACATGCCAAGAACTCCAGAGAAGTGATTCACTGCACAGTTGCTTTGCAATACCTTGCAGTGAATGTTACTAAAGTTCTGAAGCAAATGATGGCTTTGAAACCACCACTTATACTACTTAAAAAGAAACAAGGGGGAGGCGATGGCGTAATGGTATTATCGCTGGACTGTTAATCCAGAAACTCAGATAGCATATTGGAGACCCAGGTTCGAATCCTGCCACGGCAGTTGGTGGAATTGAATAAATATCTGGAATCAAGAGTCTAATATGACTATGAATCCATTGCCGATTGTCCGAAGAACCCATCTGGTTCACTAATGTCCTTTAGGGAAGGAAACTGCCATCCTTACCTGGTCTGGCCTACATGTGACTCCAGACCCACAGCAATATGGTTGGCTCTTAACTGTTTTAACTGCAATTAGGGATGGGCAATAAATGCTGCCTAGCCAGCGACACCCTCATGGGATGACATGAATGTATTAAAAAAAAATACTGTCTCTGATCCTTGCTTTGCTGTAATTGTCATGCAGCAAATGAGCTGGATCCACAAACATAAAGGATCCCACTACAGTCAACACCCTGCTCTCAGCTTCACAATGATCAGAAAATACATTATATTCTAAAGCAATTCTGACTCTTAAAGACATTCGTGCATTGGCGAGGTTCTGACAGAGAATACTCAGGTCGAAGTGGTCTGGTGATCCAGACCTTGCCTCCACCAATAGACAGACACAAGTGACTGAAGAGAATGGGTGGGCAGTCACCTGGATACTAGACTTAACTGGAAATGGTGACTCCACATTACAGAAAAGTCTGATCAGGACCTGAGGAAGGGTCACTCAACCCAAAACGTTAACTCTGATTTCTCTCTACAGATGCTGCCAGGCCTGCTGAGCTTTACCAGCAATTTCTATTTTTGTTTCTGATCTGGACTAGCCCTGCTTGTAGGGCGAGTTAAGAAGGTGGTTATTAAAGCACTCTGGGCTTCATAAATTGAACACAGGAGTCAGGAAGTTATGACGTCAAGATGAGATCAGCTATGAATGTATCAAATGGCAGAGCAGGTTTAAGGGACTGAACTGCCTACTCCTGCTATTGATTATGTTCTTTACAAATTACTGGTTTGGTGTCAACTAAAGGGGGTACGGGGAAGTGGGTGCCGGTGTAAGGGCAGGGATTTGGTTAATTAGGTGAGAAAAGAACAAGAAAGTACAGGGTTAAAATTAAAATAGAAGTAGGTTATTCAGGGGTGACTTCAGAGACCTGTTGTTCACATAAAAGGAATTGGAAATCTGAAATTCTCCCCAAAGTTGTTGTTGAGGCTGAAAATCGTTCAAAATTTGAAAACTAAGATTGATAGATTTTTAAACAAAAACCAAAACAAAACAGCAGATGCTGTAAATGAGAAATAAAAACAGAAGTTGCTGGAAAAGCTCGGCAGGTCTGGCAGCATCTGTGAAGGGAAATCAGAGTTAACGTTTCGGGTCCGGTAACCCTTCCTCAGATAGTTTTTTGTCGGGTAAAATATCTGAAAGGCTATGGAAGCAAGGCAGGTGGATGAAGTACTGATCAGCTTTAAATCTGACTGAATGGCTGAACACGCTCATTGGGAAGAATGGCCTTTTATTAAATATATAGAGCTGCTTTTCTAACAATGTTCTTAATTCTCAGGCGTTTCCTTCCGGGAAAACATTCCAATCAGAACCTTCCTTGGCATCAGGAAGCAAAAGGATATTGGACAGAGTTTGGGAGGCAGTGACATGTTGGTAATGTCACTGGGACTAACAATTAGAACCTCAGGCTAATGACTGGGGACATGGATTCAAATCTCACCATGGCAGATCACTAAACGTCAAGCTAATAAAACTACAGACTAAAAAAAGCTCGCGATTGGTCATCAATTTACCATTGTTAATTGTTGTAAAAATTCATCTGGTTCATCCAATGTCCTTTAGGGAAAGAAACCCGCTGCCCTTACCCAATTGGGTGTACATGTGACTCCAGACCCACAACAATGTGGCTGATACTGAAGTAACCAAGCAAGGCACTCAGTTCAAAGGGAATAGGGATGGGCAATAAATGCTGGCTCAGCCAGCAACACCCACATCCAATGAATCAAAAAAGTAGCTTCTTCAGTAAAACTGGCAGACACGATGTACAGACTGCACTTTTTAAACAAATACAATGTTAATACTGGCAAGGTCATCTACTATCTCAGTGCAAGTCTTGTCAGTCTGTGGACTCTAGCTTCTCAGTTTCAGCCCCATTAATTTGTCAAGGTTTAATTATGTAGCTATGAAAGTACCTGAGTGCTCCGCTGAACAGGCAGGCAATGAAGAGTCCAGGTAAGCCAGGATAATGCTGAAGAATGTCCATGACAAAGTAAAGAACCATCTGAAATTCAAACCAAATTTAACATTGTTCCATCAGATCAAACGCACACAACTGCATGGCAAGAATCACAGAACGCCAACTCCAGAACACCAGCACTGCCCAGTCCTCACCCACAACACCTTCTGAATTCAAGATCCCAGACCAAATTACAAACCCTCCTGGCCCCTTGCCACTTCTGCAGATTCGTCAGGCCTTACACTTCAGGGTGCTGTGCACTTACATTGCCCTACCCTCCTGATTCAGTCTCTCCCATCACCCTCAGGGAGAAGGATCTTCAGTCCTTGAACTCCTACAGATTATAAGCCTCTATCAAATCTGACCAGTTTTCTCCTCTTGACAGTGCACAGATTCTGTAAAGACATGGGGACACGTAACTGGAAAGCTTAAGAAAAGAAAAACAAAGATTTAAAAAATTTACAGTGACGTTCCAGGAATCGAGTGGGTGAATGGGATGGACAACAGGCCGAATGGCTCCATCTATGACACACTGGCTGTTTCATACAGCACCTCTCGCAACCTCACGATATCCCAAAGAACTTCACGGTCAATTGGATATTTTTTGAAGATGCGGTCACAGTTGTTATGCAGGAAACAACAGCCAAATTGCACAAAATAAACCTCCACAAACAGCATGTATTGTAAAGAAAAGATAATATGTCTTTTAAGACTTTTTTTATTCACCCTTCATTGGAATGTGGGTATGACCAATTGGGCCAGAAATTGTTGCCCATCCCTAATTACCTTTGAGAAGGTGGTAGCCAGATTTTGAATCACTGCTAGCCATAGGATGTAGGTACACCCACAGTGCTGTTAGGGAGGGAGTTCCAGGATTTGACCCAGTGACACTGAAAGATATAGCTCCGAGTCAGGAAGGTGACAGACTTGGAAGGGATCCTATAGGTGGTAGTGCTCCATACATCTCCTGTCATTGTCCTTCCAAATGACAGAGGTCACAGATCTGGCAAGTGCTGGATTCTGAAATATTATTAGGTGAGTCCAAACCTAGGAGCCACATATATATAGTGACTAATAAATCCATCAAGAGAAAGGTTTTCGCCCACATTGTGGTTAGAATGAGGAGCTCACTCACAGGGAGCGGCTGAGGTGAATAACACAGAGGTGTTTAAGAAAAACATGAGGGAGAAACGAATAGAAGGAAGGATACACTGAATTGTGAAGAGGAGGTTCATGTGCACCATGAACTAGTTGGATTAAATGACCTGTAAATTTTTTGTAATTTGATGTAATTTGAGATGTCACAGGGCTATGAAAGGCAGTTAGATATATGCAAATTCTTCCTCTTGCTTTCATGTGGTTTGGCTCTTTTAAAAAAAAACAGGCCTTACCTGATCAGGGGCGTTGACATAACCCTGCTGTAAGGGGCCATTTTCTCCATAGCGAGCATACATAACAAGGCCCAAAATGCATCCCATAGCCAGAACTAACTGTTGGCACGGAAACACCACATAGCACGACCTACAGGGATAACAGGAAGAACCAAGATCACCCAACACATTCATGGCTCACATTCAAACTGTTTTACCCTAGGTTTTTAAAAGTACTGTTCAGTTGGATGCTCTGTAAATTCACCGGGGAGGGAGGTAGACTGATAATTCCGAGGACTGTGCTGCCAGAATCAATCAGCGCTTCCTGTAGATGTGGTGGGCTCTGCAATTAGGGTCTCAGCGTCTCTGCTGTATACCTCTTGGGGATTGAGGGGCCTCACTGTGCACATTTGTCTTTCATCGAATGTGACAAGGTCAGCATTTGTTTCCCATCCTTTAATTGCCCTCAAACTGAGTTGCTTGCTAGTGCCATGTCAGAGAGCAGTTAAGAGTCAACCACATTGTTGTGGGTCTGGAGGCAGATGTAGGCCAGACCACATAAGGACAGCAGATTTCCTTTTCTAAAGCACAGATGGGTTTTACAACAATTGATGATCGTTTTGTAGTCACCATCATACAGACCAGTCTTAAATGCTGGAATATTTATTATTTGAATACAAAGTTCACCACATGCTGTGTTGGGATTTCCCCAGATCCATAGCCTTGTTCCCTGGATTACTAGTCCAGTGACATCACCACAATGCTACTGTCTCTCAGCGTTGTGATGCAAGGATTTATTATACCTAAAATGTGCATTTAAGTAGCATCTTTTATTTTGGAAGGGAGAACACACAAGAACAGAGTATTATTTAAACGGTATGTTACTGCAGCAGGTAATCAGGAAGGGTGATGGAGTGTCGTCTCTTAGTTCAAGTGTGTTGGAGTGCAAGAACAGGGATGTCTTACCGCAACTGTACAAGGTGCTGGTGAGACTATACCTGGAGTACTAAGAGTGGTTTTGGTCCCATTATTTAAGGAAAGCTATGTTATTTTAGGTAGAGTAGAGAAGGTTCACTAGGAAGGTCCCTGGTATGGCAGGATTGTCTTACGAGCAAAGGTTAAATCTGGGGCTGTACTCACAGCGGTTTAGAAGAACAAGAGGGGATCTAATTGAAATAGAGGTTTCTTTCACTTTATACATTAATGATCTAGATAAAGGAACCAAGGGCATTCTGGCTAAGTTTGATACAAAGGTACGTAGAGGGACAGGTAGTATTGAGAATGTGGGGAGGCTGTAGAAGGATTTAGACAGGTTAGGAGAGTGGGTGAAGAAGTGGCAGATGGAGTACAATGTGGGAAAGTGTGAGGACATACACTTTGGCAAGAAGAATAGAGATATGGGCTATTTTCTAAATGGGGAGAAAATTCAGAAGTCTGTAATGCAGAGAGACTTGGGAGTTCTAGTCCAGGATTCTCTCAAGGTAAGCTTGCAGGTTGAGTCAGTAGTTAGGAGGCAAATGCAACTTTGGCATTTATTTTGAGAAGACTTGAATATAAAAGCAGGGATGTACTTCTGAGGCTCTATAACACTCTGGTCATACCACATTTGGAGCATTGTGAGCAGCATGGGCCCCTTATCTCAGGAAAGCTGTACCGGTCCTGGAGCGGGTTCAGAGGAGGTTCATGAGAATGGTCCCAGGAATGAAAAGTTTAACATATGAGGAACATTTGACGACCCTGGGTCTATACTCAATGAAGTTTAGAAGGATGAGGGGGGATCTAATTGAAACTTACAGAATACTGAATGGCCTGGACAGAGTGGATGTTGGGAAGATGCTTCCATTGGTAGGAGAGACTAGGACCCTAGGGCACAGCCTTGGAGTAAAGGGAAGACCTTTTAGAACAGAGATAAGGAGAAACTTCTTCAGCCAGAGAATGGTGAATCTATGGAATTCACTGCCACAGAAGGCTGAGAGAGGCCAGGTCAGTGAGTACATTTAAGACTGAAATAGATAGATTCTTGATTATCAAGGGGATCAAGGGTTAGGGGAGAATGGGGATGAGGAACTTATCAGCCATGATTGAATGGCGGAGCAGACTCGATGGGCCGAATGGCCTTAATTTCTGCTCCTATGTCTTATGGTCTTGTAGGTTTCTTAAGGGGCTTGACAGGGTAAATGCTAAGAGGATGTTTCCCCTCGTGGGAAAGTCTAGGACCATAGGACGTAGGAGTGCCAACTTAAGACTGAATGAGGAAGAATTTCTTCTTTCACATAGGGTTGAGAGTCTTTGGAATTTCTTGCCACAGGGAGCTGTGGAGAGCAGCGTCCCTGTGTACATTTAAGGCTGAGATAGAAAAGATTCTTGATCAGTCAGAGAATCAAGGGCTACAAAGAAAGGACAGGAAAGTGGACATGCTGAACAGTGGATCACCCATGACTCTATTGAATGGAGCAGCAGGCTCAAGAGGCCAAAGGGCCTACTCTTGTTCCTATTTCTTTTGGTCTAAAATGGACCTCCAGGGTGCTCAAAGCATTTCAAAGCCCACAAAATATTTTTTGAAGAGTAGCAACCAATTTGCACACAGCAAGTTTACACAGACAAGGACCAAATAAGCTGTTTTGTGATGTTGAATGGGGGATAAATAGTATTCAGGAAAGCAGGGAGAATTCCCCATCTCTTCTTTGAAATAGTGCCCTAGAATCCTCAATGCCCACCTGCAGACAGATCTTGGGTTTAGTGTCTCACCTGAAACACTGCACCTCTGACATTGCAATGCTCACTCTGGAATAGATGTCAACTTGGGTTATAGACTCAAGACTCTGGTGTAGATGTTGAATCTAAATACAAGCTGCTGAAACGTGCCAAACAGTGTGGAAAAAATCCAGAGGCAGAATTGGTAGCAGAATGCCACTCAAAAGCTTACTGCCAAGTCAGGACAACCCTCTAGACTATCATCCCAGATTCATCAAGACTAAATGGGTTAAACAATGAGGACAAGTTGCATAGACTGGGCATATATTTCCTGGAGTTTCGAAGGTTAAGGGGAGATTATAATTGAGATATTTATGACAATTAAAAGGATAAAGAGGAATTGGTTCCTCCTATGGGGGCAGTCCAAAAACATTACAGCCAGGCTGCCCAGGGCTGATATGACAAAGCACTTCCACACATAGAGGATAATGGAAGTCTTAAACTCTTTCCTCAAAAAGACTACTGCAACTTGGGGAGAGGTGTTGCAAAATTTCTGAACTAAGATTAATTAATTTCTTTCTTTACGGGATGTGGGCATTGCGAGCAAGACTAACGTTCGCTGTCCACCCGAATGATGTGGGGTTGGAGTCACATCTAGGCCAGACTGGGTAAGGATGGCAGATTTCCTTCCCTAAAGATTGTCAGTGTCATTAAAAGCCCACCTGGTTCAATTGGTGACAGTTTCATAGCATCATTTTACTGAGATTAGCCAAAGACTCCAGATTAAGTGAATTTAATTGCTGCTGGCTATCGTGGTGGGATGTGAACTCATATCCTCAGGGCATTAGGTTGAACTTCTGGACCACCAGCCCAGTGACATCACCGCTACATCACCAATAAGGATATTAAGAATGACTAGGTTGAATTTTCTAGAAAAGAGAATTCCATTGACCAACAACTGAGAGAAAAAAAAAGCTTTCATCTATGTCTCAAAATCTTATTCTTAAATCAGGGCCCCCAGTTCTAGTTTCTCTGACGAGAGGAAACATTGTGTCAGAATCCACAATTTTAAGTCCCCTCATGGTCTTATTTTCAATAGGATTGCCTCTTATTCTTTTACACTCCAATACATAAAGGGCCAACCTGTTCAACCTTTCTTCATAAGGTAAGGCCTTCATTCCAGGAACAAGGAGGATGAACATTCTCAGAATTGCCTGTAAATCAATTAAATCCTTTTTCAAAGGAGACCAAAACGGAAAATACTGCAAATGTAGTCTCATCAAGGACTTGTACAGCTACAATAAACATCCTTATTGTAATATTCCATTTCTCCTTGCAATAAACAACAGCATTCCGTGATCGCTCCCCATTTTGGCAAACAACTGAACAGGAGTGACTAACTGAATAGCCTTCTGCTATTGTTATCCTTGTTGGTGTAAAGTGAAGCTGCATTGACACTGCAGTTTGAAGGCAGCCTTAATTAGTGACACGCTTGAGACAGGGAGAACCCACTCTCAGGTTTAGCAATGCCGGCTTAACACACAGCAATTTGCCCAAAGTAGGGGCCCAGCTTGGTTTGGTTCAATAACTTACAATATCGCTTGCTGCTCCGTCCGTGAGCTGAGGTAGCGTTGGACTTGCGCTTGGTTCACCCCGTAAAGTGCCAGCATCATGAACACACCGCCAAAGCTCAGAGTCCAGAAAGTGTGACGCTCAAAGGGGTTAGGATTCAGGCTGCAGAAGGAAAGGACACTTCAGCGAAACAAACCAATTAGACTGTAGGCTGGACTCTCTCTCTGCTAGGTGAGAAAAATCTATTCAATTAGTCCTGCTTCACCTGCTCTTCCCCACAGCCCCACAAAATCTGTTTTTCTCAAATATTTACTGGAATCCTTTTTGAAAGCCCTTATCAAACTTGCTGCCACTACAATGTTTCCCAGATTACAAAATTTACCACGTGAAAATTGGTCATTGCACCTTTGAATCAAACCCTTTAAATTAGTTTCCTCTGGTTACCACCCTCCCCCGATCACTAGTTCAATGAAGTCACTCCTGTCTTAGATTAATTTGTCAAGTTTTTGAAATTGCTTTAAAAAGATATACTTACTCAATTCCTGAGATCTTGCCGTTGTTTTTGGCAATTCGCCACACTTCACTGATTCCTCCTGCCTCCTTTGTCCCAATGATGATAACAGCCAGCTGCCCAGAAAACATCACCAGTGTCTGAAACACATCTGTCCAGATTACAGCCTTCAGTCCACCCTGAGGGTCACATGGAGAGGTGCAGTGAACAGGATGAAGCAATGAAACAGGAAAAGCAGCCTCGACACCAACACAGGCACCAGGTGTGACTCTGCCTTTCATCTGCTCCTTTCAGTCAGACAATTATCCATTCAAATCCCCACTCGAGATTTCAGCAGAAAATACTGACTGACACTCATTACGAGGGGATTTGCTGTGATCTAATTGAATGTGTGGGACAAGACTGAGGGGTTGAATGACCTCTGCCTGTTCTTATGCACTGGTCATTATTTATCCCTCAACCTCTAGAACTAAAATGGATTACTGCTCTTTTATTGAACTGCTCTGTGTGGGATCTTGCTGTGTGCAAGACCACACTCCAGAGATATAACCACATATTGGAGGTGAACACAAATGCTTGCGCTGTCAGGACTGTTTGTTTTTCAGTTCAGGGTCTCTACCCACCCTCTGAAAAACATACTGAGGCAGCACTGGGAAGAGAAGCAGGGACGTTTTCCTTCATGTTTTTATCAGGAACTTTTGCTTCCACAAAACTGATCGGCTAGTGCGGGTAAACTGAAATTTCAAAACAGACAGCAATAGTTTAAGTGAGGCTACAGAGCCACAGAAGCAAATTAAGAAGATACAAGCCATCTATGATCAAAATTAATGGTAGAACCAAATGAAAACCTGAAGGGACTTTCTCCTGTTACTACATCATGCCCAATATTTACTCTACAACTAACATTATTTGAAAAAGTTCTGCTGCGTTCTCTCATTGCTGTCCGCGGGATCTTGCTGTGTGCAAGAGCCAGCTGTGTTTCTGATAGTACAGTGGTGACTACAATTCAAAAATGTGTCTCCTGTTTTAGGCAGCATGGGTTGTGAAAGGCTTTGTATAAAGTCAAGACTTTCTTTAAACCATCAACACTGAATGGAACATTGGAGCTCTCTGACCCATTGATTACTCACCAGTGCTGTGTACAGTGTGCAAACTAACCCCATGGTTAACACTGCTCCCCACAAATCGAAGCCAGTCACTGAAAACATTCAAAAAAAATCTTTTAATATTTCAACAGTAAATGTCAGAAGGCCACAGCAAAGCTAACAAGAGAGCCAAAATCAGAACTCTCATGACGACAAAAATAATGGAACTATAACCTCTCCATCATTACCAATGTCAGGAAAATAAAATCTGCGTTCCCGTCTGCTAAAAATTCCTCCCGTACTCCGTCCACACCCTTCTGCACTGTCCCATCCCCTTCCGCCTCTGGTCCATTCAGACTACCTCAGTCTCCCGTCCCGCTCTGCCTCCTCATCTCAGTCACTGTCACCCCGATCTGCCATTTTCTGCCTTCCATTTTATGGGTGAGATTTGTATTCTATTCATTAGGAAGCCACGCAAAACTGTTTGAAGTGCTGGTAAAATCATTTACTGTTGGAAACTGCCTCAATTTTACTTAGGGACCACGTTTAACTCCAGCAAGAAGCAAAGTGACACACCGAACCACCACCACCATTTCCTTTCCTCCCCACAAGCTTAACAAAACATTCCTTTAGCATTTCTCCAGTGACACAGCTAATGCAGCACAAAGGGGAATACTGTGTTGGTGATTCAACAATGTGTTTCAAGGACAGTTACTCCTTCTGTTCATGACCAACTGATAGGAAGCCTGCTTTTGGGCACATTTCTCTGAAACATTTAAGTATTTTTGTTAAAAAAAAACTGTTACAATGATTTCATTTAAAGTTAAGGAATGAAAGACCATGGATCTAAAACATTCACTCCGCTCCCCTGCCTGAAATGCTGACTGTATTTCAGACTTTTCTGTTCTGATTTAACATTCTCATTTCTCCAGTAACTTTTGTCATATGATTTAGTTCATTTCATCTGCCTTTATTTCCTCAGCACTGACTCGAAACATATAATTACTGTGGCCTTCTGCTGGGCATGTGTAATTTTACAGGACTTGATTAGTCACAGATCACATGCCATGGATTCAGTGCCTTTTTAAGTGGTTTAGCAGCTTTCACTGGGTCCTTAAACAGCCAAGGATTTTAAATTTAAGCTTCAGAGAGCAGGAAATGCAGTTGAACCACAAATCCAGATTCACTATTAAACTGTTTATAATCATTTCATCATTATATGTTTGGAAATAACAATTTGTAAGTCTACGAGAAACTAGTAGGGCAGCAAAGATAATTGCTTTAATTTTCCAAAACTCCCTAGATTCAGGAAGTTCTCATTAGACGGGAAGGTAGCAAATATGACTCCTTTATTCACATGAAGGAGAAAGGCAGAAAGGAGGAAACTAGGAATGAGTCAGCATTACTTCTGTCATGGGGAAGATATTCCAAGATATTGAAGCGAATGCTGGAAATCTAAAATAGAACCATAAAGTGCTGGAGAAACTCAGCATGTCTGGCAGTATCTGTGCAGAAAGAACAAAGTGAATGTTTTGAGTCAGATATCCCTCCCTTTCAGAACAGTTATACTGAACTCAAAACATTAACTCTTGTTTTTCTCTCCACAGATGCTCCCAGGCCTGCTGAATTTCTCCAGCACTTTCTATTTTCATTAAAGAAATTATAGCTTAGCTAAATTCAAGGTGATCAAGCAGAGCCAACGTGTGAAAGGGAAATCATGCTGAACTAATCCATTAGGAGCTCTTTGGGGAATAACTTGTTATGGATAAAAGGGAAAAGTGTACGCACTATGTTTAGATTTCCAGACGATGTGATAAAACTGCCAACTCCAAGACCATTGCAAAAAATGAAAGTACATGCAGTGAAGGGTTGGACAGAAGATTGACTGGGTAACAGGATGCAGAGAGTAGGTATAAATGTTTTTGTTTCAGATTGGCAGGATATAAAGAATGTCTGCCACAGGGATCTGTGCTGGGATCTCAACTATTCACAATTTATATAAGTGACCTCGACAAAGGAACAGAGGCATGGTTGCCAAATGGAGTATTGCGTCCAGTTCTGGTCACCGCATTATAGGAAGGATGTGGAAGCATTGGAAAGGGTGCAGAGGAGATTTACCAGGATGTTGCCTGGTACGGAGGGAAGGTCTTATGAGGAAAGGCTGAGGGACTTGAGGCTATTTTCGTTAGAGAGAAGAAGGTTAAGAGGTGACTTAATAGAGACATACAAGATGATCAGAGGATTAGATAGGGTGGACAGTGGGAGCCTTTTTCCTCGGATGGTGATGGCTAGCACGAGGGGACGTAGCTTTAAATTGAGAGGTGATAGATATAGGACAGATGTCAGAGGTAGCTTCTTTTCTCAGAGAGTAGTAAGGGCGTGGAATGCCCTGCCTGCAAAAGTAGTAGACTCGCCAACTTTAAGGGCATTTAAATGGTCATTGGATAAACATATGGATGATAATGGAATAGTTTAGGTTAGATGGGCTTCAGACTGGTATCACAGGTCGGCGCAACATCGAGGGCCGAAGGGCCTGTACTGCGCTGTAGTGTTCTATGTTCTATGTTCTAAATTTACTGATGATGCATAGGTAGGGAAGTAAAATCTGGAGAGGACAGAAGGAGGCTACAAGAAGACGTAAATAGTCTAAGTGAATTGGGAAAGACCTGGCAAATGGATTATAACGTAGGAAAATGAGAAATTCTCCATTTTGGTGGGAAGAGCAGAAAAGTAGCATAAAATTTAAATGGTGAGAGACACAGATCTGAGATGCAGAGGGTTCTGGGAGTCCTCATGCATGAACAGCAATAGGCTATGTCTGGAGGCACAGCAAGTAATAAGAAATGAATGCACTTGTTTAATATGAACGGAACTGAATACAAAAGGAGGAGATTATGTTTCAGCCACACAGGACACTGGGGAGACCACATTTCGAGTACTGTGTAGAATACAGGTCTCCTTCTTTAAAGAAGGACGTAAATGCATTGGAAGCAGTTCAGAAAAGGTTTATTAGACTCATACCTGGTACGGCAGGTTGTCTTATGAGGAATGGTTGGACAGACTAGGTTTATATCAACTGCAGTTTAGAAGAGTAAGAGACAATTTGACTGTAACATATAAGATTCCAAGGGGTCTTGATAGAGCGGTCTTTTAAGGATGCTTCCATTTTACTTTTTATTCACTTGTGGGACGTAGGCGTCACTGCCTGGGCCAGCATTTAGTGCCCGCCCCTAGCTGTCCTTGAGAAGATGGTGGTGAGCTGCCTTCTTGAACCACTGCTGTTCATTGTGCTGCAGGTAGAGCTGTAAACCAGATATCCAGCCAACTGAGCTGACCGTTCACCACGAATGTCGTGCTTTCTCAACCTCTCCCCTCACCTGAAGCGTGGTGACCCTCAGATTAAGTTTACCATGAGTCATCTTTCTTGAATGAGACAGCAGTCCTATAGTCCTCTGGGACGATGGCAAATTTCACCTAGGTAGACTCACAATGCCTTAAGACCAGAAGAAATAGGAAGGGGAGCATGCCATTTGGCCCCCTGAGCCTGCTTCACCATTCAACAGGATCATGGCTGATCTGATGCTCCTCACATCCACTTTTGCACCTTTCCCCATAATCCTTATTCCCCTACCGATCAAGAATCTATCTCAGCCTTAAATATACACAAGGAGTCTGCCCCTACAGCTGTTTGTGACAAGGAGTTCCAGGACTCACAACCCTCTAAGACATTCCTCCTCATTTCAGAATAAAGGGTGCCAATTTAAGACTGAGACTCTGCCCTCTGGTCCTAGACTCTCCTATTAGGGGAAACACCCTCTCAACATTTAACCAGTTACACCCCTTAGAATTCCTTGGGGCGGGTTGGGGGAGATCCAAGATTTTAACACAATTAAGGGAATATCTAGAACTAGGGGTTACTGTTTAAATATATGGGGCTGCCATTTAAGACAGATAAGCAAGAATGTTCTCTCTTCCCAAAAGGTGCTGGAAGCAGAGCTTTTGAATGTTTTTAAGGCAGCGTTTAATAGACTCTTAGTAAGAAAGAGGTTAAAATGTTTTTGGGGTGGGTGGGAACTTGGAGGAATCAGACCAGCCACAATTTTATCGAATGGCGAAGGAGATACAAAGGGGTCAGTGACCTATGATCCTAACATGTAAATTTGTACGTTTTGGAGTTCAAATCCCACCACTGAGAGTTTAATGCAATCAATCTGAAACATTTGGTGGGCTTTAATAATCAAGAAAATAGGGATAATCTATTTTCACTTGCAGGAGATCAGCAACTAAGTTAGGAGAATTAGTATAAAAACTAGAGCGAAGCTCAGGAGAATTTCTTATGACAAAGTGAACCACACAGCCTTATCAGACCAAACCCTTACTGCTACTTCTTTACATGGACTGGAACTCATTAGATTTGAGCAGGTACAAATCAGCAATGCTGTGAATGATCAGATCTGGGTTTAAAACCTAGGTTTTTCAAGAAGTCTGTCTTCTGAAAATAACTGATTAGTCGTTTTACATTATTATACTGACAGCTGGAAAATCACCTCAGGTCTGAGGGGGTTCAGTCTACACAGGTGAGCAACGAATGTCTGGATTATTTCAATATACTGTTGTTCCATCTTAACTTACCTGCATTCAATGCCAGTGCAGGTGCATAGAGCACAACACCCATGTAAATCACCTGCAATTAGAAGAGAAGGATTGCTGTTACCATGAAGAAAAGCTTCTCTCACACCATGCAGCTCTGTCAGCTTGAAACCAATCTTAAAGTCAGTGACAGCACTACCAGCTGTGAGTCAGTGGATTGAAACCCCATGGGAATTAAGTACCTACATTTCCAGACAGTAGCGAGGTGCTGTACCGTACATAACAACAGGTTGGCTTAAGATAAACTATTTCCACTGGTTGGAGATTTTAGAACCAGGGGACGCTGTCTAAAAAGGGCCAGCCCATTCTAGAGAAAAACACAAAGGGTGTTAGAGGTTTGGAACTCTCGCCCACAAACAGCAGTTGATGCTAGATCAGTTGTTAATTTTAATTCAGAGGTAGATAACTTTTTCTTAAGCAAAGGTAATAAGGGATGCGGGCCAAAGACAGTATGTGGAGTTAGGTCACAGATCAGCCACAATAGCATTGAATGGTACAGCAGGCTTGAGGGGCTGAATGGGCTACTTCTGGTTCCTATGTTTAAGTTTTCCTGAGACTGTCAGCCAATAACAATGCTGAACCATTGGCACTGGGAGCGTGAGTTCACTGGGCAGTCTTTCATGTGTGACTATATCAAACTTGCCTTCTGGAAGGTGTATGTTATAGGAATTCCCATTGCCATCTTGAGACATCAACTTCTCAGAAGGAAGTCAAGACGGTTATCCAAGTTGGATCTCACCTTTTCTAAAACCACAATGTTTTCAACTTGTTTAAGGGTGGGAGAGCTACTGGCAAGATCAGCATTTATTGTTCATCTCTAGTTGCCTTGCGGAGAGTGTAGTGAGCTGTCTTCTGTGGGGGAGGCAGTGTCATTACAGTAATGCCATTAGGTTAGTAATCCAGAATGCCAGGCTAATGTTCTGGTCACATGTTCAAATCCCAGCAAGGCAGATAGTGAAAATTCAATTCAATTCCAAAAAGTTTGGAAATAAAATTGCTAGCCTAATGGTGACTGTGTACCATCTGGTTCACTGATTTTATTTTCTTTATTCATTCATGGGATGAGGGCGTCGCTGACTAGGCAGTATTTATTGCCCGCTCCCTAATTGCCCAGAGAGCAGTTAAGAGTCTACCACATTGCCGTGTGTCCGGAGTCACATGTAGGCCAGACCGGGTAAGGATGGGTTTTTCCTGACAATTGACAACGGATCATGGTCATCACTAGACTCTTAATTCCAGATAATTATTGAATTCAAATTCCACCATCAGCCGTGGTGGGATTCAAACCCGGGTCCTCAGAACGCTATCTGGGTCTCTGGATTAACAGTCCAGCACTGATACCACTAGGCCATCGCCTCCCTGATGTCCTTTAGGGAAGGAAAACTTCCATCCTTACCTGGTCTGGTCTACATGTGACTCCAGACCCAGAGAAATCAGGCTGACTTTCAAATGTGCAAATCAAGATGGGAAATAAATGTTGGCCTAGTTAGTAATGCCTACGTTCGGTGAACAAATAAAAATACAATTCTACGTCCCTTCGAATGTAGGGAGAGAGAGTTCCTAGATTTTAACGCAGTGACTGTGAAGGAACGGCAGTGTAGTCCCAAGTCAGGGGAATGTAGAGTTGGTGTTGTTTCCGTGCATCTACAAACCTTGTCCTTGAAGGCGGTACAGGTCATAGGTTTGGAAGGTGCTGACGAAAGTGCCTTGGTAAATTACTGCAGTGCAGCTTGTGACAATATATAACGCTGCCACTGTGTGTTAGTGGTGAAGGGAGTGAATGTTGAAGGTAATGGACAGGTATCAATCAAGTGGGCTGCTTTGTCCTAAATGGTGTCAAGATCTTGAATGTTGTCATCCAGGTAAGTGGGGATCATTCCACCACATTTCCGACTTCGTAAATGGTGGCAGGTTTGGAGAGTCAACAGTTAAGTTTAGAACAAGAGAACCAGGAGCAGGAGCAGGCCATCTGGCTCTTCAAGCTTCTTCACGGCTGATCTTTTTATGGCCTCAGTTCCACTTAAACACCCTCTCACCATGAGCCTTAATTCTTTTATTATTCGAAAGAATTATCTATTTTAGCTTTAAAAACATTCAATGAGGAAGTCTCAACTACTTCACTGGGCAGGGAATTCCACAGATTCACAACCCTTTGGTGAAGAGATTTCTCCTCAATTCAGTCCTTAATCTGCTCCCCCTTATTTTGAGGCTGTTACTTCTTGTTCTAGTTTCACCTGCCAGTGGAAACTACCTCCTTGCTTCTACCTTATCTATTCCCTTCATAATTTTACATGTTTCAGTAAGACCCCCCCCTCATTCTTCTAAATTCCAATGAATATAATCCCAGTTTATTCAGCCTCTCCTCATAAGCCAATCCTCTTAACTCTGGAAACAACCTAGTGAATCTCCCCTGTACCTCTTCTTTCAAGTAAGGAGACCAAAACTGTACACAGTACTCCAGATGTGGCCTCACCAGCACCCCGTACAGCTGTAGCATAACCTCCCTGCTTTTAAACTCAATCCCTCTAGCAATGAAGGACAAAATTCCATTTGTCTTAATTACCTGTTCTACCTGCAAACCAACCTTCTGCAATTCATGCACAAGGACACCCAGGTCCCTCTGCACGGCAACATGCTGCAATGTTTTACCGTTCAAGTAATAGCCCCTTTTACTGTTATTCCTACCAAAATGGATGATTTCACATTTATCAACATGGAATTCCATCTGCCAGACCCTCGTCCACTCACCTAAACTATCGATCCCTCTGCAAACCTTCAGTGTCCTCTGCACACTTTGCTCTACCACTCATCTTAGTGTCATCCACAAACATTGAAACCCTACATATGGTCCCCAACTCCAAATCATCTCTGTGAATTGTAAACAATTGCGGTCCCAACATTGATCCCTGAGGCTGGTCACTGTTCGTCAACCACTGATCACTGCTCGTCAACCAGAAAAACACTCATTTATCCCCACTCTTTGCTTCCTGTTGGTTAACAAATCTTTGATCCATGCCAATGCATTGCCTGTAACGCTGTGCAACTTTGGTCGTGCAAAATTCACAGGTTCAGACTTGTAGCCTCAATATTTATATGGCTAGTCCAGTTCGATTTCTGGTCAGTGGTAACCACAAGATGTTGATAGTAGGAGACTGAACCATGGTAATGCCATTGAATATCAAAGCACAATCATTAGACTCTCTCTTGTCATTCCCTGGCCCTTGTGTGGTGCTAATGTTACTTGTCAGCTCAAGTTGGTGTTGCCCAGGTCTTGCTGCGTGTGGGCATGGCCTGCTTCAATATCTGAAGGGTTAAGAATGGTGCTGAACATCGTACAATCATCAGCAAGCACTCCCACCTCTGATCTTACGATGGAGGGAAGGTCACTGGTGAAGTAGTTGAAAATGGTTGGCCGTAGGACACAACCCTGAGGAATGCTTGCAAAGATGTCCTAGAGCTGAGATGACTGACCTCCAACAATCACAACTCTCTCTCTTTGTGCTGAGACAAAGTTTTTCTCTGATTCCCAATGACTCCAGTTTTGCTAGGGCTTCTCGATGCCACACTCAGTCCTGACTGCTATTTACTGGGTTACTTTTCCCTGCTTGTTTCCAAAAGTAAACTATTATTTTTGCCACAATAACAAGTTTTTAGTCAGGTGGATCTGTGTTGCCTTTGTTTTCAACACAGTGAAAGTCCTGTGGTGTAGCCCCATCTAGAGACTTGAAAACACAAAGTAATCTGACTTTTCCAACGCAATGAAGGAGAGCTGTATTGTTGTTGGTGCAGCAATGAGTAAATACTACACTGTCTGTGAAACAAAACTGAGAGAATTCTACATCTAACAGAAGTATACGATAGTTTGTACCTTTTTAATTTGGCAACCTTGGCACCAGGACATCGCACGACCAACATCAGCACAGCAGTTTTTAAACCATTTATCTCACACCTGTGACTTGCTGTGTTTAAAACTGTCTTAACAGCAGTTAAATGACTGGAAATTTTCTTCGTTGTACTGTAAAATGTGTCTTCTTTGAATCCAGGTTTGTTGGAAAACTGAGATAACAAGGTGTAGAGCTGGATGCACACGGCAAGCCAAGCAGCATCAGAGGTGCAGGAAAGCTGACGTTTCGGGTCTGGACCCTTCTTTAGAAATGGGTCCAGGTTCTAAAGAAGGGTCC